TAGATAGATAGATAGATAGATAGACAGACAGACAGACAGACAGACAGACAGACAGACAGACAGACAGACAGACAGACAGACAGACAGATGTTCCACAATTGGTGCTTTCCAGATATTCCATGATTGATAGTCACACTGGATGAAATAAGTTAAAAACTGTAGCAATGTTGTCAGATACATCGTATGCATATAAGATCATAAACCCATATAATGTTGTGCCCTGCTTCTCTCATTGACCAGTCAGGCACCTTTAGAAAAACTGTAATCAAAATATGAACACAAGCTATATTCTGTATAAGATTTAGTAAGATAACTCTGAAAGTGCACAAATATTCCATTAATCAATGCTTACAACAAAGGTAACAATATCCCCTCCTCCCGAGGGCTACATGTAATGGAAGTGAAACCCCATCGTACCAAAGAGAACTAGATCCCAATTGTCTCACATCTGCACTTGCACATCTTCAAGCATATATCTTTAGTTGCATCCATAGACCATTACCTATGCTAATGTAATACACATTGGTTCTCTAGTCTGATGAGTTGGGGCACACCAGGCCCTTCTCTACTACGTATTCACAGCTTGTACCAGTCTGATAAAAATCTTAATACTTTCCTTCTAGTGTTGTGCTGCTTGCTGTCTCATTGGTGTTTCTGAATTTGGAATGGCAGCTGCATTGCTTCCCAGATAGAATATAGTTGTTCCTAAGCACAATTACAGAAAAATTCAGTTCTGTTCTGGGAGTGAGGAACCTACATTTCCTCAGGATGACAAATACACAAGTAATATTAACAGGTGTTTGTTTACATAATAGATTGCAGTTTAGTAGTTACAGGAATAGAGTTTACATTTTTTTCCCCTTTCAGATCAATAGATAAAAGCAATGCAGTAACATTTCTGATAACAAGTTTGCACAGATTATACTATTTTCCATTGGGAGAAGGCCAACCTTTGAAACTACTGTTTTTAGCTGTGTCGAATACATTTGAAAACCATCCTAATTCTTTTATAACAGGCTGTGGGGAAACCCAAATTGACGGTAATTGTGGCGTGCCAGATGTTCACTTGGATTGGTTTGTTGGAATGGCCCAGCATGTGGCTTTTTTGCCTTGGATTTCTGGATTGTGATCATTAACAAAACTTCTGCTAAACATTTGGTTAATAAAACAGATCCAAATCTGAAGGGATTGTTTACTTTGGTTTGTATTTCTCTAGCTTACTAAAGTTTAGTGACTGATCCTACAGTCATTTTGATACTCAAGTAACTGGCAGTGCTTAATATGAGAAAGCTTTTTACTCATTACTCATGAAATTAATATTACTACTTAGCTTTGGCTTGATCAGTGCCTGCCATTACATTAATCCAGTACAGCATTCTGATCTCTTGATACAGTCAACTCCCATTAACAGCCACCAACATAATTCAAGTACTAAACACTTGGAGGCATCATATTGGGGAAAGCTAAAACACCAGTTAACACTGCTTAGTTTTTATCATTTTAGATCAGGAAACTTGACTTTGTTTTAGTCAAAGGCCCAAAATGACTTTAGATTCCACCATACCAAAGATGGCAATTAGATAAAATATTCCCAATTTACATTTCAGTTGATAGTGAAAATCTTATTATTAGAACATACTCACTATGACTTGTATTTTTGTTTTCAATAAGGGTAACTGTATGTTACCCTTACTGTGCAGAAAAAAATAAATGCTTGAATAACTAAATTCTGTTTTCCACTATCCTTCTCACCCCAAAATCCAAGAATTTCCCATGACCAGGCCTCAGAGACAAAAGGCATTATGATTTAGGTAACCTAGTTTCAGACAACAGTAGAACTGCTAGTCACGAACGCTTCTGACCATGACCAAATCGGGTTCCGACCAAACAATTTACAATTTTTTTTTCTGTGGCCGATTTTTCCTTTTACAACTTTTTTTTAAAAGCGCCAAATTTCCAAAATTAGGTTCAGGTCATGACCAAATCGTGGAAGTTCCAAAGTTATGGAATGAACTATGGTCGTGACCAAAGGTTCTACTGTATTTTACATGAATAATCAGATTATCATGTGATTATTAGTTTACACATCTATAGCCTATTTCATGCATGAATCACACATTCACAGCTGTTATCAGGAATGAGACTGCAATGGCCTTGTAATTTTTTTCTGTAGTGGCAAAACCTACATGCCAGCAATTACTCACACATGGGCTTCCATATGATGGAAATCCAGTTGTGTGAAAGTCTTTGGGCAAACAACTGTTCATAACAGGGGTGAGTTCCAGCAGCCGCTACTGCTAGTTTGCTCGTGTTTGCGCGTGCATGCACAGTACTATAAAAATGCTTCTCCGTATATGCAGAAGCCAAAAACAAGATGGTGGTGCCTACAGTGCCCGCCACGAGAACCAGTTTGGAGCGTGACAGGCCTGGGTCGCTGTTGGTTCCAGCAACCCAGGCTGCCAAACCACTACCGGTTCGGCTGAACTGATCCAAACCGGTAGGAACCCACCATTGGTTCATAGGTAGACTTCTTCTGTGTGTTTGAGTTATGAGGCAGCAAAGACTCCGGTGCCACTTCAGTCCTGATCATGCAAGCGTGATACATTGATTTGGTTTTATAAAAGACTTTTTAAAATGCACATTACTCCCATACTTAATTTGTTCCCTGAACTAATTTGTACTGGAAGATTTCAGGCATTGCATATTCAGTGTAATATGTCAAAAGGTGTATAATTGTTTGGATTAAATCCAAAAGTTTCCTTTTATCAATGGAAGGGGTATTTATCCAATAGAGGGCAGTCTTCAGAGTGAATTCTTCATGAGGAAAGCTAATTCACATTTCTTAATAAACTACAAGAACTTGTCACCTGCATGTATATTCATAGTGAACAAAATGAAATCCGTCCATACTTAGTGCTTTTATTCAGTGCTTCCTACACAAATGTTGCATATATGTTACTGAATTGATAAATTCAATTCCCAACACTTCAGCCACAATATATGATAAATTAAAATTAGGGAATTTTATTTTGAAAGGATAGCATTTAGTTTTTCTGAAAATAGGTATTTTATATTAAAAAGTAAAAGACAATAATCATATTTAGTACACGGAAACAATTCATTTTGGGAACTACAGGTAGTCCTCAACTTATGATGAAAATTGGGACTGTCACTTGTCTCTTTTAAAATTTTATTTTTATATATTTCAAATTTTAATATTTTATTTATACAACACCCAGAGTTCCTGTGGAAGATAGATGGGCAGGCTTAAAATTAATAAATAAATAAATACTTGCATCACTAAGCAAATTGTGCCAAATCTTATGAGCCTCTTTTGTTGCAATCATTAAGCAAATCATCACAGTTCTCACTTCCAATGAGCTTGTCTGTTGAATGTCCAGCTGGGAAGGTCACAAATGGTAATCACATACCCCTGGAACACTGCCATCGTCATAAGTGCAAAGACTGGCTGTAAGTCAGCAGCGTCCTAGTTGAGTTTATATATTTGTATCTGTTGCTAGTTGAAGAGATTGAAAAAAGAAGGAAAACAAGGTTTCCATGAAATGACAACTTGGAGATGTGTCATTATTGTTATAAGATAAAAGGGCTCTTATCACCTCATAATACATGTGATGCAAGATTCAGTGAACAGAAATTGTGTGTAAGCTTCCTTGCATTGTGGAATAAATTCCCTTCAGTTAAATATTTGATAGCCTACTCCAAAGACATTTCTGTGTATTATCATTGTTGCTTAAAATAACTGTTGCTTGTTTTCTAAAAGTTATTCAGTACATGATTATGTATAAATGCTTTATTTCTTAAATATTAACTGTTAGCAACAGCAACTGAATCCTTCTTATTCTTTGTTTTAGGGGCCACCGGGGCCTCAAGGGGAACCAGGGCCTCAAGGCGCTCCAGGACCAAAGGTTGGGTCTCAGTTCCTTTAAAACAAAATATGTTGATCTACACCAAGGGTGCTAACCTTGCTAACTGGGGAATTCTGGGAGTTGAAGTCCACAAGTCTTAAAGTTGCCAAGGTTGGACACCCCTGTTCTACCTAATGGCCATTCAGCGGCACAGTTATTGATTCACATGGGTTATTCTATTAATGACATAGGTCCTTTGAGATCAGATCAGTGATGAGTTTTGAAGATTAACATGTAGCAGCCATCAGAAATTTTTGGGTTCATTTATATATTTTAATTTATATGGTAATATGCATTAGGTTTCTCTATATGGTTACTTGAATTTTAACAACAGTTGCTGATAGAGGCTCTTAATAGCTGTTTATTGAAGATCTAACAACTTACCTGAAAGATAGCAACAACAACATAACTGAAGTCTAGCAAATGTTACTTTATACCCACCAAGATCTTTGTAGTTTGGGGGTGTGTTTTTGCTCACTTGGACCTTGAAAGATCACCTTTGTTTAGAAGTTAGAGCTGGAAGATATTTAAATTGAATTAAATTTAATTCTGAAATACAAAGTCATAAATTCAGGTAAGTGGACATGGAATTGTAAGTAAGTAAGTAAAATCTTTATTACGGTCAAAGACCAGCAATACACATTAGTTTTTACACTATATTAAAAAATACTAACATTAAAATATAATTCAAAAGTATTGACATTAAAAGTGGATAATAACATAACGTTCCCAAGATTGCTAGAGGTATGTCCAGATAATTGGTACAAGATGGTACTATACTTCTGTAGTGAATTTTTTTCTTATGG